ACCAGGACAAAATAAGACAGTGAGATTCAGAGAAAGATGGTACCGGAGAGGCAGCACGGCGGTGGCGCACCCCATGGAGTAATACTGGCGGTAGTGGTGGCCATAGTGATATTGGGTCCGTTCATGTTCGGCGACCAAGGCGAGGCCATAACAGAGGCGATTTCTGAGTTTTTGAGCCCCCTGGGTCTCGTACTCCTTCCCATTGTCCTCCTCCTCATCATCCAGTTCCTCTCCTCGGATCGCGGCTCCTTCGTCTCCAACATTTTCTCCACCGGCGAACCGGACTCCATTCACCGGGTCAGCGGGTCACCAGTCGGAGTCGCACTGTTTCTTGCTCTGATCTTGTTTTTGCTTTACTATCGGTTGTCCATCTTCGGCGGCGGCGACGATGACTCCGGCGATTGAAACTGCTGCTCCGCTTTGCATGGATCTCATTTTCCTTTTCATGTATGGCTCTTGAATTTACGTGAATACCTCCACGTAGTGGAGTTCATTTCTTTGTAGATGCCGATGCGACCTTTTTTTCTTCATGGCGAGGTTAACAGTATTATGGTCTTATCAATTACCATTTGTATCGATGCCGATGGTCTACTGTAGATCCGGCCGTGCTGCCGTGACGGGCAGCGCTAGCTGTCGTTTCGCGGCGGCGCGGTGGTGGTTTACCTGTCCCTTTTAGTCGTTCGTGAATATTCATTCCACTTTTCCTGATATTTTTGCCGACTCTGAAAGCCTGATTGCAGAGATCACGTGGGGCACGTGCCCCGCTCTTCATCATCAGTGATTTTTAAGAATTTAGATTTTCAAAACAAATTTGTATTTTTAAGATTTAGTGTGTGATTGGATTAGCTATTCAAAAAATAGATTATAATTAATAATTAATAATAAATTATTATTATTCTTATTTAAATTAAAAATATTTAGATTATTATCAATTATTTAAATAATTTAATAATTAATTTTTTTTGTTAAAAATAAAAAAATTTTAATTTTAAATCGTATAATATACGTCATGGAGTGCGATAAAGATGAATGCAACCAAGATCAAAAAAAAAAAAAAAAAAAGCATTTAGTTTATTTAATTAGATCTAACAGTTATCAATTATCAATCAAACTCTCATCTAAACACTCCCCTACGGTTATGATAGTTAATAATAGTTTTATGATTATTAAAATTATAAAATATTATATTTAAAAATATTAATTTTTAAAATTTATTCAATTAATAAAAATAATTAATATTTGTAATTATTAATTATTAAAATACTATTTATTAATTAATAAATTAAAATTAATTAATTAACTAATATTTTTAAATACTATTTTAAAAAATAATAAAATTTTAATCACCTTAACAACATCAGCCGTGAGAATTACAAATTTACAACACCCCTGCTCAAATCCCAATTATATGTAGTTCCACCATCGCATCAAGCTCTTAAAACTTTGCACATGAATATTTACAGGCACAAACCACAAGACTTTAATCAATATGTCCTTCTATTGAACAGATAAGTTAATCTTGAGTCAATTTCTTTACAAAAACAAGTCACGGCAATAGATGTATTGCCAATGTTTCCTTTACGTGCAAAAGAGAATTGTTATTCATTATCAGTTACGAGGAGTTCCTGGATGGAAAAATGAGTATACAAGAACATTAGCTTTCGTCGTCAGAATTGAAGGACTGTCGTCTCCTCACAGATTCCAATACATCCAGTGGTTGGGCATTTCCAGTATTGGTTCCTCCCTGTGTAGGCTTGAGTTTTGGAACTCTAATGGAGTTGAGGGGCGGTGTTGACGCTCCCTTGTTTACCTCCCTGAGCACAGATCTTGCAGTGGCAGCAGCTACTGCGTCTGCCATTGCTGAAGCAACTTTCAAGTTACTGTGCAATTTCTCAGTTAAATTATTCTGTGCGGGTGTTCTGTTTGGAGGCTGAGGGACTCTAGGTGAAAGGTAACTGCTTGGATTTTGCATGTTGGCCATGGCCTCAGTAGCAGTTGTACGAGCCTTAGCTGATTCATACTTCTGCATGTCGTAAATGAGCTCTTTCTGCAGCTGCTTATCCGCAACCAACATGTCATCAATCTCATTTTTGTAGTCCTTGAGAATGATACGAAGGCATTCCATGAGGGAACCTGTGAGGGGGCTGTTCTTGCTCTCTAATAGCCGTTTCAGCTCTATGAAGATGGGTATGGTGTTCTGAATAAGGCTCTTTCTGACTGCTTGTGTTATAGCCCTTCCTTTGGTGGCAGATGCATTGCCATCTCCACCTTCTTCCTCTCCATCTCCTGTGTCAGTTGCTGATCCACGACTGGATGAGACTCGGATCTCTTTGCAGGCAAGAATGTGGAAAGCATCCTGCTCCATCAACATAAGATAAAAATGAATGCCTTGATAGAAGAAAAGTTTCCTCACCGGAGAATTTATGCATTGCAAGCACCAAGATAGTCAGGGACAAGTACAAAATTGAAATGTACATGAGATTAGTACCTGAAGAACAGACTGTCCAGTGACATCATCTAGAGTGAGCATACCATCTGATGCAGCCCCAAGAATCTCTGCACATAACTTTGCAAAGGTAGCCAGAAGGTGCTCTGGAGCCATTTGTTTCAGCAAACAGACATAAACATGCATCCTTTTAGATCTGGACCTTTCATCACTACCCCTGAAAATTATAGTATTGATAATAAAATGGCCTTTCAATTACAGAACTTCCTTTGTGACGCTGCTAAATACAGAACATTTATACCTGATGGAAAATAGTCGACCCTCTGCTCGCGCATCCTTGGAATCACTACGCCTATTGTGCGCCTGATAGTCATTTAGAACATAAATGGCTTCCACAAAACTGTTGTATGCTAGAAGTGGTGACTTGGCTGGAAGGTCATTATAAACAGTCAAAATCTAAGAAATATGTGGCAACTATTACAGTGATGCTCTGTTAGGTTGTTAGAGCCTATACCTTTCAAAATATTCCCAAAGAGGAAGTCAGCAAGTTGTCTTATCTTTTCTGATTCATCAACAAGACAAAGGAGGAACCGAAGGAATAGCACTCCTCTCCACTTTACATAGTCCCTCTGCAGGAAAAGAACAAAGTTATAATATCCAAAAGCTTCATAGAGATCACATCACGAGTGATAGGAAGTTAGGAACCCCATGTACAGATACCTACATACCTGCAATAGTCTTGAGAGCAGTATAAATGTCTGCCTCCTGACAAGTTCACATGGATCACGGAGACACTTGGTGATCTTCGTTATGTAGCTGTAGAACTCAAGTACCATTAGTTAGGAAAGAGAAAAGGCTTGAAAATTATTGTATTAGCATTTTTTCTAATTATCTCTCCCCTTTCTTTTCACTCAAATCTGATAGTTTGCCTACTGAAGAAGCTACTAAAGAAAGTCAGTTCAATTAATTTTAGAGGCCTCACCAGTCAACCAGAGCAGTGTAGCGAACACAAAAGTCTGCCATCATCACTACAAGATTGTTGCGAAGGGCTGCACAATCACTCTTCTCAAGCTCCTGCAATGTGTGATTAACATTTTGAAGTTCAGAAGTTAGCAGGAGTCTAGCACTACTGAGGATATTCTCTTGGACCAACGGAGGATGTGATGGGAGGGGATGCATGCTATAGAATTACAAAACAAAACAAAACAAAATCCAACCCATAACTATGCTGCTTGGTAATAATTTGCAGCCCCTACGTGTAACTTTAGAAATTGTAGTTACTTGCTGCACTAAAGGGTATTTAGATTAGCGATAGCTATCACTTAGATGAATCCTGCTTGGCAAAATGTGTAAAGTAATCACGATGAAAACCATCTATACTTTGCATCCCATAGAAATCAAGAAGACCATGTTAATGAGTTCTTTGTCTAAGTCATTGTTCGAGAGCTAAGGCCTTCTCATAGACTAGCCAGTAAGGGTTTTTTTTTTTTTTTTTCTCATCCAAAGACTAGCAGCCCAGTAGTTTTTATCAACAAACCTGCACAAAAAGAGGGATGTATTTCTTTGCAAGTTTTCCATCAGCTAGGCAAATCTTCCCCATTGTTAACCATGCTTGGGCATACAAAGAAGGAGCTATCTGCTTAAAAGAGACTGTATTCCCTGGTAGTTTATTCAAATTTGAATCCGAAGTTATGATGGTATATAACAGTGGAATAACAGAGCTCACATCAGCAGGACAGACAATAACCAAAGACCCAATTGTGTAAACTGCAGTTATTGCTATTGATGACATTCCAGATGCAGTTGCTGCTTGCTTCCCCTTTCTGTTCCCACTTCTAGGTGGCGTGAAAAAACTACTACCATTCTTGTTTGCTTCTATAGTCTCAGAAATATACTTCTCTAAAATATCAGATGCTTGAGAGAGGAGCTGCTTTACCCATTTATTGACAAGCATATCAGCCTCCTCAGAACTTACAGCCTTCCTCTTGCACAATGTTCTGAGAGCTTTCACGTGAGCATTAACCTGCAATGAAAAGGTAGAGTTAACCATACACATAAAATCAGCTGACAGGTAAAAATAATTAAATAAATAACATTGACATGGAGCTGTTAGGAAGATTGTTGTTGTCATCAACTCTTTCTAGCTTAGTAAACATGACCTCTATAGCTCAACTACAATCAGAAGTTAATTTTATGATATCAGAGTATTCTTTCTAGCAGAAGAAAGAAAAGGGATCATCTGATCCCTTTTAAGATTAGAATGCAAGTTATGCCCAATATTAGGAATGAAGTTCTCTGCATTGCTTACATGGCTACAAAAAGCAAATTTATTATGAGAAGTTTGTTCTAAATGAATTTAATATAAATCGAACTTAACACCTAATTGTGTCATTTAATATAAATCGAACTTAACACCTAATTGTGTCATTTAACCAGCATCATGAAGGAAAATTAATAGAAAATAACTAAGAACCATTGGGATCAGATAATCTTGGATCTGTCAATCAGCCTGTATTGCTTATAAGCTATGATAAAAGAATAAATTTCCAGAGAACAATGGATACAGCATAACACCTTCTGTATTCAGACTCATATGTTTAAAAACACACAGAAAGAGTGCAAAAAAAAAAAAAGAAAAAGAAACATGTCAGTAACAGTAATCTTATCAATTGAACAGTTTACTAAATGGTAAAATACCTCTGTGGAATGCATGCTGAACTCTTTAATTCGTTTAAGCAAGTTAGAGGCCAATTCTGAAGCAGGTTCAGGAGGCAACTCCACAGACACATTGGAGATTGTTTGCAAGAGGAAAACACGATCACCGGCCCATGCTACTGATTTGGATGTTATGCCCTCTTCATCATGCATGTTGCCTTGCACAAGTGGACTATGAAACTCACCTTCTACTCTATGCTCATCAAGGAGCTGCCAATGATGATGCAGGAACTCCCAATCCACTGCTTTTGAAAGATATGCTGAAACTTCAGACAGAAGAAACCAAGCACCCATTGGTGCTGTCCACTTCTCAATTGGCATAGAATGATTCTGCCAAAGAGATTCTGATGTCCTTATAATGCTCTGAAGGGCCATAGCAACTTTGGGCTTCAGCCGTTTCTTCTTTCCCAGACTAGTGCAGATTTTCTTCACCCAAGGTGCCACCTCTCCATTGCACATCTCCTTCAAAAGATGCAAAATTCCTTCAGGAAACAACAATTTGATCTCTCTTTCTAAACTTTTAGCTTTCACATTTGACTTGTGGATGGGTTCATTAGTAGCCAAGGAAGCAGTTCCAGCTCTAGATATCCGATCCAAAACCAATTCCAAAAACAAGTTCTCACATTCTTCTTGAATACTTGTTTCATTATCAGTTATTAAACGCGGAACAGAATGCAGCCACTCAGCAGTCACACTTTCATCTGAAAATATCCTAAAGGTCTGTAAAGTTAGGCAACAATGTGAGAATTTGAACCAACAGGCCAAAGTGCAAGTAACTACAAACATACAGGAGAGACTATTCTATTCAACAGAAGTCTCAGTGGTCATTTCTGTGAGGAAAGAATAGAAGGGGGGAGAGAGGGTAGGGTTAGGGGAAGTTCGTATTTTTACAAGTAACCCCTTCAATTTGTACGCAAATGTTCAAATTTTTGGCAGGTAATTTTCTCAATTCAGCAGTAATAGATCAGACTAGCTAAGCCAAAATAAGGAAAACAATATATCTGATAAAAGATTCCCATAAACCAAAAACACCACAAACAGACTTATAAGTTAACCCAAAAGCAAATATAAATCAAAGTACTGTATGTGCATCATAAGAGGTAAACCCCCACAGAATAATTAGTCATAGCAAGAGAAAGATTACTACCTAAAGTTGAACTATTCTGGGCCTCTGAAAAATTAGATTTCTTCAGAACTGAGTTTTATGTATGAATATACAAGGCATTATAATTCAATTCAGAGTTATATACTAAGCAGATAAGTTAGTAAGCAACATTACTTGGATAAAGAAACTTCAGAAAATTCATAAAAGTAAATTAACCTCTGAAAGAGCAGAAATAGCAGCTTTACGGATGCTAACAAGTGGATCCGAGCAAGCCATACCCATCGTCTTGAGAATAACTCCATCTAAAGAACCACCAAAAATGGCTGTCAACTTGGTAACCAGAAGAAGTGCAGCCTTCCTAACGGCTGCCTTCTCATCCATACACCTCTTTCTCAAAAGTTCATTCATCCCACCATCTGCCTTCTTATCTCCAACCTCATCCAACCCCAATCCTTCCTTCAAGACTGCCTTATTCCTGTTATCACAAGACAAAAACTCCACTACTTGTGCTAAGCTTGATAAGGCTCGAGCACGAATACTAGCACTTGAGTCACAACAGCGCTTATGCAAAGCCTCTAAACTCCTTAATCCCCAAGAGCCTCCTACTTCACTACCAGAATTCTCCCCCAACGGATCCTTCAATGAAGTAATCAGAGCTGCAATAAGATCAACAGCTAACAGCCTAAGATTAGCCTTCCCTTCCGTCATCCTCACAACATACTCAACAAAACCCAGTTGGTCATCAAATTCTATCACTCTAACTATCTCCATTATTGACTCTACAGCCAAGGCCCGAGGCTCAGCCTTCTCAGGCGCCTTATTAGCCAAATACCTAGGAAGATTCACTACTGCTTTCCTCACACCGTCACTCTTCTTCGCCATTACCATCATCCTATTCACCACAAAACCCAATGCAAAACTTCTAGCATGCGATTTAACCATAAGTATCAATGGAGATAATGCTTTCAAAATCTCAGTAGCAGTACTTACCTCCTGCCCATGCTCCGACCTCAAGACTCCACTCAAAACCCGGGAACACAAGTCCATTAACCTGCTAAAACTACCAGAATGTCCGTATGTTTCCAGCGCCATTACAGGAATTTCACCCACAGTTTGTATCAAAGATTTCAAACTGTCAGGAAATCTGTCCAAATGAATCAAATCCAGAACCGAAACCAACATTTCCATCACAGAAATTATTTCCCTCACATCAACAACACCACTCTCTTGACCTTCATCTTCACCACAACCCCCAAAAGTCCTCGAATTATCCTTCTTCCCTCTGCCCCGCCCTCCACTCTTCCCCTTCCGACTGGTCGGTGCTTGCTGTGCCTGAGAAGAGTCATCAGTAGGGGCTGGAGGGCGGTGCTTGAGGGACCGGCGAATGGAGCGGAGGAAAGAGAGAAATGCCACAGGAGTAAAGAGAGTGAAAACGGGGGACTTGGGGGAGAGGAGCAAAGAGAGGAACACCTTGGAAGCAAATAGGGCGAGATGAGTAGGAGCGGCATCCATCGTGGAACCCAAGAGGTGAATAAGGAACGACGGAGAGAAGTTCTTGGAGGCGAGCTCGTCGTAGAATTGGGTGTGGAGTTCCGGATCGCCGCTGGAGAAGAGAGAAAGGAGATCTACGAGCGTGGAGTGCGGAATTTGTGCAGATTGGGTGGGGGTATTTGGGATTTGCTGAATCTCTTCGAGGTCGGAGATGATCCTTGAGAAGGCTTCTTCCATGGCCGCGGCCGCTGTAGTTCCCCTTCCCACTTCGCATACTGCTGCTGTGGGGGCTTCGAAGCTTCCCCTAAAAATTGATTTTCCGCTGAAATTCTTTGAATTTTTTTGGCATTCCCGCTTAAACGGTTTTATTGTTTTTGTTTGGTACTGGTAGAATTATTTCCCGTAAGAAACAAAATATCTTTTTTTTAATAAATTTTTTTGTTTGATAATTTTATTTCACAAATCTGTTAGCTAAATTTAATAATTAATTGAAAAATGTATTGTGAGGTGATGATACTAATTATTAGATGGGATTGGGCTATTAATTTTGAGTTTTTTAGTTGAAGCTAATTTCATCTAATATTTTATGAAATAGGACAATTTAAATTATAAAATAAAATTTTATAATTAATTTATTAAAAAACAAAAATTAGAACATTCATTCTAACTATAAATTTTTTTTTGAACAATTGTCATATAATCGAATTGAACCATTGTCTGGAGAAGAAAAAAAAGTAAACGTTTATAAGAGTGACAAATATCATTTGACGTTATGGATTAAGTTACATTCATTCTAATTACATAATAAATAAGATTTAAATAAAATATATATTATATTTCACTTGTGACTTTTATTTAACGTTTTAATATTTTAATATCAAGATGTTATATCTTTCCTCAAACCAATGTTTTTAAACCTGAACTAGAGGTCAAACCATTTTGATCTTCGATTCGTGATTTGAGCGATTTAATCAGTTAATTAGAAAAAACATTGGATTGATCAAAATACTATAAATATATTATTCTACAAAACATTTTATATGGTACTAGTTGGTTGCATTGGTAGGTAGTTGACTTACTATAAGAAAGATCTAAAGTTCGAATTCCTCTTAAAATAAACTTTAATTATGCTTTCAAAAGTAGAATAAATGTATTATAAAGTATAAAATTAAAAATGGAACGTCGCGGATCAAGTGGAAAAATCTTTGTTACATACTAAGGAGAATGAGTGTTTGAATCTCGTGGTTGTCTAATTTAGTTAAAATTTTTGACATGCTGCAGTTTCAAATTCTGCTTGCGACAAATTTCTCAACATTTTAAGGAGAATGAGTGTTTGAATCTCGTGGTTGTCTAATTTAGTTAAAATTTTTGACATGTTGCAGTTTCAAATTCTGTTTGCTACAAATTTCTCAATATTTTAAACCTAAGTATTGAATTGTTTGGTCAAACAGTTTATCAGTTTGAGTAATTTGAATGGTTTTCAATGGTTTCAAATGATTTAATCATTTAAACGGTTTTAAATGTACTCGAACCATTTAAACTATTGAGTGCCTTATCAACCAGTTTGGTTTTTAAAATTATGCCTCAAACTTATTAATTATTTAATGTTAGTAGTAACTATTATCAATATTGTTTTATTAAAAAATTATTTTTCAAAGACAAATTAGTTTAATAAATCTTTTCATTTAAAATTCATAATTTGTTATAAAATACAATAATATAAAAAAGACAAAACCCCAAATCTATCCCTCAAAGAGGGTAGGACAAACATATTTTTAAAAAAAAATGTAGAGATAAATTACTTTTCTAAATAATAAATCAAAACAAATCACTATTTTTAAACATATGACATCAAAATTATATTTATCATGTAAGTATTTTTCAACGAAAAATTAACATTACACATTAAAAAATAAATAATTTGTTTCAATTTATAATTCGAAAAAATAATTTATTTCTATATTTTTTTGAGGAAAAAACTATTCTACCCCACATTAGAAGGGTGAATTTAGGGTTCTGCCTATAAAAATGAGAAAGAATTGTTTTGCATCATGTAAAGGCAGCACCATTGCCTTCCATTGCATAATGGAATCCAAATCATGAATCAAAATCTGAACATGAACTTATAATACGAAACTCCTATGCCTTGAACTGTTGGAGACATCCAACAACAACCACTACAATCAAACGTTGAAAGTATACAAGTCATGTTCTAAAGACAGAGCTCATGGAATTTTCATTAAGATTCAAATTTTAACTTGAAAGATTACATCTTTATTTTACTAAAACAAAAGATGATACAAATTATTCACTGAAAATGGATTTCAAAAAAGACGGTCCAACGTTGAAACTTTTGAGGGCATAACCTACTTACATGCCCCCAGCAAAATTTATGGATCTGTAGTTTATAACAATAATTAAAACTATGGGGTGTTTTTTTTTTTTTTTTTTTTTGGTGACATTGTAACTACGGGTTGGATAGGGAAACTACTACCTGCAAGTCAGTGCTCCCGGTAGAGTTTTCTTCTTCATGTTACCTTTTCAACCCACCATACCCTAAAACATTCCTTCAACAAACAAAAGACGCCATTCTCCACAGCAGCCAGAAATGGCAGATATCTTACAATTTCAGAGTAAGATCTATGTCATCAGGGGAATTCCCTGGAGGAGGAGCAATATCTCTTTCCTGAGCTTCAGGTTGAACCATTGAAGTTGACTCCTGGTGATGCCAGACGTTTGGAGAATTCAAAGACGCAT